ACCCTATGATTGGCTGTAGCTCATCCGGCCATATGACGCCACGGAATAGGCAGAGATCAAGGAATGGAAAATTACCCAGCGCCTGCGCAATAATCTTGTTTACATTCGGTGCCTGCCGGATGCAGGCGCCATCTTGTAATGGAGAATGCAGGGACGGCTCCCTACAGGCTTCATTCTCAAGCAGACCCTCCCAGACTTTCAGATAGGCTCAACACCTGTGTCTCCAACCAGCCAGCAGACTGCCCCCACTCCTCCCCCATAAAAATCTTAACAAAACTACCAAAACCAGAGCTTACTGGCTCTGCTTGGCTCAGCTTAGGTCATTTGTCTCCTCAGACCAGTCTCTCTGGCCCAGAAGGTGCCAAGTTACAGGCTAGAGCCAGATGTCTGCAGGAAAAGCTAGAGTATTGCTATCAAGAGGGAGGGATGGAGGGAGGGGACAAAAATAGATGCCAATTCACCTACCAAGAGTCTCAGGGATAGTCTACCATGAACCTCATTTAAGTCACTGTTGCTCAAAAGCATACCATAGTCCTGACCAAAATAAATTGAAACATATTCACAAACCCCCCAAAAATCTGTTTATATATGATTGTAGGAGGTTTGTCCATATTTTTTAGAACTTGGAGGCAGCCATGTCTTTTAGGTGAATAAACTGTGGTGTATCTCTATTCTAGAATACTATTTGTCTCTAAATTATAATAATAATTAGTTGAGGCAGGGTTCTTTTCATTTGGTGCCATGCTTGCTGCCTGCATTTTTCCTTCTGAAAATATATCGCCACATTTGTTTACAAGTCAATGACAAATCCATCATTTCATCGCCAACTATTCTGTCACTCAAGGGATCACAACAAATCGAAACTGGGGAGATAGTTCAGCGGTTAAAATGCTTGCCAAGCAAGCAATGTAAATGTCAGGTGGGCATGATGGCCTGCCTGGAATTCTACCCTCTGGAGGCAGAGACCAGGGATCCCCAGAGCAATCTGGTTAGCTAGACTAGGCTTATCAGTAAGCTTTGGATTTAACCAAGAGACCCCACCTCAAAGAAGAAAGAGAGTGATGGAGGAAGATTTCTGGCATCAGCCTGTACCTCCCCCAAAACATACATCCACTTCTATACACACATGACAGGGCCCCTTTTCATGAGTTTATAATTCACTAGGCACATAGGTGGGGGGAGTTGGCTAGCATACTCTACCCAGAGAAACACTGGGGTTTTCCTCCTGCTGGGGATTCAAAGGTACCTTTGTTCTATGTGGCCAAGGTTTCCAAATGATGGCCACACAGCTCAAACATGGAAGCAGCTGACAACTGCTTCAAGGACAGAGTGTCCCTTATCTCCAACACAAGGCCTAGCCAGGCTTCAGAGCAGGACAAACAGCTTGGGTCTGCATGTAGTCAGGCCGCTGGTTTGCCTGCTCTGGGATATCCCTATCCTCAGCTCACACCCACACTTGCTGGGAGCCAGAGTTGGGTCAGTGCAAATGTCAGTATCTCCAAGGGCAGACAGTTAAGTTCCCACATGGGAGAGGAAGGCTGCCACATATCTAAAGTGCTGTGGTTTAGGAGGATCGAGAGAAAAGGCAGGAATAATTATAATGAAGCCAGGCCGTGGTAGTGCATGCCTTTAGTCCAAGCACTCGGGAGGCAGAGGCAGGTGGATCTCTGTGAGTCTGAGGCCAGCCTGGTCTACAAGAGCTATTTCCAGGATAGCCTCCAAAGCCACAGAGAAATCCTGTCTTAAAAAACCAATAATAATAATAATAATAATAATAATAATAATAATAATAAAAAGGTATTAGTTTTAATTATTTAAAAAGGCAGATAGCATGCTAGACACAGTGAAAAAAATGCTTCCCATGCATAGCTTTCCTCGGGTCCTATTAGTGTCTTTTTGTAACAGGCATTATTATAACTGATAGGAAACTGAGGTACAGACTCAGACAAATTCAGTTAATACACAGCAATAGCAGCATTCCAATTCGGACCTCTCTCTAAAACATGCCCCAAACTCTAAAAGATATAGCTGTTACTTGCTTCATTTGATATACATAGACAGCCAAATTAAATAATTTAGAACCAGCCTTTCACATTGGAATGTAAATGATGGTGAAATCATGGGTATTTATGTCCTGCCAGCTATGGACAAAGGGCTCAATAAATATGGGCTTAGTGAAGAGATATGAGTTGGAAGTCAAGGGCACCACAGACACAGAGGGTTATGAATTGGAGAGGTGACAGGGGTGTGTGTGTGTGTGTGTGTGTGTGTGTGTGTGTGTGTGTGTACAGCTAGACAGATCCAAGTTTGGAACTCTGAGTGACCTTGAGCAAGTCAGTAGTCCTTCCAAGCCTTCTCCATAATTTGATCATAAAAGTAGGGCCAGATACATAATGTTACATAGAAGATTAAATGAAATGATGCTTGTGAAGAGCCCCAGACACAGACTCGATGACTTACAGATGACACGTGACAAGCCATGTGTAGAGGATATAGAGTCCGGGGTGGGAGGGCACTTGTCCTTTCCCAGTGAGCTCAATATCCAGGGCAGAAAACACATGGAATCAAAAGACCCAGGGAGTCATGTATGGATAGAGTAGGGCTAGGCAGAAGGGGCCATGGCAACTCACAAAAGACCATTGACCCAGAATGGGGAAGAGAGACTGTCCTAACAGGCTTTTCAGAGAAGATGGGGTCAATTACAGCCAGAGCCATGTGTAGAGCAATGGCTAGGTGACAAGAAGAGAGAAGACGAGTTCAGAGGCTAACATATTCTAAGGTCTAGAGACAAAGGACAGAATAGGATGTTTTGTTTGGGAGGAGACACCTGTTAGGGTCAAGAGCCAAGACTAAAGAGGTGAGCAGATTCCAGGTCTATCCTGAATCTTTCAAGATTCGTGATAGTTTTCAAACTACATCAATGTGATTGGAAGTCGACTCTTGGCCTAATCAATTGAACTTGTCTTCACAAGGACCTCAGAAGAAATTCAGAATGGCAATAGAAAAGAGAGATTGTGAAACAAAGACTACCTACCCTTTGTCTAATCATGAAGAAGCCTCCATCCACCTGTTTTGGGATCTCACAATCTCTCCATCTGCAAAGTGGGTGGCTACATCAAAGTTGCCCAAACTTAGCTAACCAAGGGTCACCTTCTTGATTCTTTTAAACTATACTCTCCCTGGTTCGATTATTGTGGTCATATGCCTGTTTCTGCATGGAAGTGTGTTTACCTTTCTGAAACATAATAGGTCCTAAACAGAAAGTACCTGTAATAATATGATTAAGACAGTTTATCTAACTATGGTCAGTTACAGTTCCCTACTCAAGGTTCTGACTCCAAGGCCTGTTCCTTTATCTTGGGGAGATTACATAGTGTTTGGGGTGTTAAAAACCCACTAGCACCCAGCCAGGGCTTTCTCATCCATGCAATCAGAAGGACTGAACAAGGACAAGAAAGGGGATGGAAGGAATCTCTCACCACATGATTTGATCATCACATGATTTGATGTTGTTTAGCCTTGTGCCCACAAGGACCTCCTGGAATACTCTGAAGTAGCCCCCAGTGTGGTATGTGTCCCCTACCTGGGGGATGCTGAATTGAATTAAATACTATTCTTGATTAGATATCATTCATCTTTTCTATCTCTGCCCTTCTAAATTCTGTCACCTGGCAGTTCTTCCCAGAAAGAGGGGAGGTGAAAAAAGGAATTGAGGATACTGACTCTATCCTAGTCAAAGGTGGTAGAGGAAGCATCAGGTTAAGATACCTCCAGAGCAAGGGCAGCTGGGTAATGACAGATGTTCTCCCTCCTGCAGAGGATTTCAGTCTCCATGTCTACAGTGTGCTGAGGTGAAGAAGTCTAGTTTGGTCCCATCCACAGCCCGGAGCTCCCCCATCAAAGAGTGCTCCCGTAGCTCCTCCTACACCAGCACTCGATCCTCCAGTCCCTCTTCCCGGTCCCCAAACCACAGAGCTTCCCCCAGGTATACCCGGAGCCGGTCCACCTCCTCTGAAAAAAGGTGAGTATGTCTTTGCAACGTTTGACCTGCTGTATGTCAAGTCAGGCTTGACATTGAATATCTGCTCCAGCCATTGCTACTGACAATCTTGGGAAAGACAGTCAACATCTCTGAGCTCCTGTTTTCTTCTGTGAAAAATAAAAATAATAGGAATGCAGTGGCTCAGTGGCCCAGTGGCTCATTCCTAGGGTGCAAGCACTTAGAACACAAGGAGCATTGACTGTTATTGCTTGTGTTGGCATGAGGATGAGGTATCAATTAACTTCTTCTGCATAAAAAGTAACCAACATCATCATTCACATAAAATGCATTTACTTGGTCTCTGTAACTCTGTGGATTAACAATTTATGCTGGGCTCAGCTGGCTGGTTCTGTCCTCAGCCCCCTCATGTGTTTTTGACCAGATGGTGAGTAGGCTGGGGGCTGGGAATTGAAAGCCATCCAATGATTAGTTGTCTCTGCTCTGTGTTGTCTCTCATCAGCTAGCAGGCCTATCTGCTTGTACACAAGGTAATGACAAGGAAAGAAAAGGAGGGAGGGATATATATATACAAGGTACAAGGCTTCCTTACTTCTCAGCGTTAAGTAACATTCCATCCCTCCTGCTATTTTATTAGCCACAGTAAGTCATAAGACCCAGAAAATTCTCCCTTAGTGAGAGGAGTTACAGAGTTACATTTCAGGGGTTATGCAAGATAGAGAGAAGAAGTGCAACTGTTTTTGTATTTTATCTCCCAATCTCAATAGCCATTGGTATTGTTTGGTTACCTTGTATAGTAACCTGGTAAAGCTCCTTTTTTAAAACATACAGACAGGAGATCTCAGGAACTGGAATAGCCCATCTAACCCAACCCTCACGGTCTCCTTGAGCCCAGCTTCCCTCTTTAAACAAAAAATTCAAACAGCAAGTTGATTGTTCCTCTTCCTCAACCATATAATAAAAATTCAGTTGCTTCCTTGCTTGGTAATTTCAAAACCAGCACTTACTTATGTTTTTTTTTTTCTATAAGATTTCTCAGTGCTAATGCAAAGAGCAAACTGGCAGGACACTTGGTGGGGGAACAACTGCACTCAATAAGAATGAGTTATTCCTTCCCCCATAATATTCTCCAAGAGCTGGATGGATCATCAGTAGTGAAAGAGGGAGAGTAAGTGTGAACAACAGGGCTAGTAATTGAGATGCATCCCCAAGAGGTGCTCTCTCCCTCTTGTCCAATGGAGGTATGGTTCTTGATCCCCAGTGGATGCCTGTAGCCAAACCCTTGGATACGTACCAAACCCTATAACAACACTGTCCATCTCCCTTTGTGACTAGAGCACGCATCATGCACTATGATGCAAGTATTTTCAATGTGAGTGAGGTGTTGTAGCAAAATTAACATGAGCTCTGCTCTCCTTCTGTTTCCTGGAGATCTCTGTTCTTGCCACATATCTTAGTACACTCTGCCTCTGGGTTTTTTTTTTTTTTTTTTTTCTTTTTTTTTTTTTTAATGGAGAAATGTTGAATTTTATTTTCAGTCAGGTGATATTTTTTTTTAAGATTTATTTATATGTATACAATATTCTGCTTCCATGTATATCACATCTGCACACCAGAAGAGGGCACCAGATCTCATAATGGATGGTTGTGAGCCACCATGTGGTTGCTGGGAATTGAACTCAGGACCTCTGGAAGAGCAGTCAGTGCTCTTAACCTCTGAGCCATCTCTCCAGCCCCCAGGTGAGATTTTTAATAGGTCATTCCTATGAATGAATGAATGTGTTCTTAAAGCACCAGAAACCTTTCTCACCTCCCTTGCCTTTTATGATAAAACCCATAATTTGCCTCCATCAAGAATCAAGGATAATATTCATCCTTAACTCAAGGGATCTTCTTTGGCTCATTTTCTTATACCCTTCCCCTATCTTACTCTAATCTGTTAGCAAACCTTGCTGCCTCTACATGGTCAGCAACTGAATGCAGAATGACAGAGCAAAGCACTAAGTTCAACTTCGTCATCCTTTGTTCAGTGTCCCCATTGCCTCCCCCACCCCATTTAGGCACCAATTTGCATTTGATCACAGAAAAGAGTTCCCTTCCCAACCTGTACCCCTTTTAAATATGCTTGCATAGTACCTATATCCTAGCTTAGAAGATAAGGCACAATTTTGATTACCTCATCATCGCTGTGCTCCTATTCAAAGAAAAAGTTCATTTTGCTAATACTTCTACAGGACTGGAGTATCTGTTTGAGTAAGTCATATTCTAGAATCTAGTTCATGCCAGCTTCCTAGAGAGGGCCAACACTTTTATTAGTGGGAATCACTGTTGAGTTCTGGTTGAAAACCAAGAGTTCACATCGAGATAATGGGCTTGTGTCACATCCCTAATTTATCAATAAGGCAGGGTTGTAGTGAATATGTCTGACTTGTAGCCTCTATATTGTGGACCACACAGTTAGGCAAAAGTCTAAGAACACTGAACATTTTTCATTAGCAATTCAAGTGCCATTAGTAAACCCAGTACTTAGAGATGTGTATGTTTAAGAAGAAATTAAACAGAAACAATGGCATATTTATTTGATGCTGTTGAAGTGGGCACACAGTGAAGAAATCTATGAAGGCTTCAAGTAACATCTGTGAGGGAATACATTTTTAAATAGTTTTTACATGTTGATTACTCTAGACAATTTCTGAACCCTGTTTAGCAGCAAGTCTCCTTTCTTGATGGTTTCTTGGTACTGCCAGTTCTTGCTATCAGGTCTATAAATAAAGGTAAGGGAAAAAATTAATTATTTAGCAGCCACATGACTCCATGACTAAGAGCTGACCTACTTGTATACACAGGCATTTAAACTCCCCTATTATCAGCAATAACAAATGATGGATAATAAGGACAATACCACTCTTGTGCATGCCCCTCTTGGCCCATGGTGCTCATCTAATAATATTCTTCCCAAAGTGGGTGAGATTCCCTGTCGTCTTTGGAGCCCCTGGCAAAGGCCAGTCTCAGTAGGGTGGCGGGGGACAGCTAAGAGTCTTACACATCTGCAGAAAAGCCAACCCTAGTTACCTAGCAACCCCCATCCTGCTGCTGCGCCCCTTCAGGGACCCCAAGTATGGTGAGAAGGAATTGCAGCCCCGAGAACGTGCACGCAGGAGACGACGGTCCTACTCGCCCATGAGGAAGCGCCGGAGAGACTCCCCAAGCCACCTGGAGGCTCGAAGGATAACCAGGTGAGACTCTGAAGCAGGGATTGCCTGCTTCCAACCTTCACCCCACTGTCACATCCTCCCATGCAGACCTTGGAGCTGAGAATGGGATTTAAGGATTGTGGGAGCTCCAGGATGTCCATTCTACCCCCTAAAATGATGGGGTTTGTTTTTTGTTTTTTGTTTTTGTTTTTCAAAGCCTACCCTAGTATGGAATTTTATCAAGCTTTCAATCTGCTAGGCTTTGGTGGGGAAGGGACCCAGACAGTAATTGGACTGAGCTTACCCTGGAGTCTCAGGGAAAGACAATGGATCAATCTGAGGAGTAATGTATAGCCTGGGAGGTGTCCTGGAGGCTAGGAACCCAACTGGTACTGATAAGCCAAAAGGAGAAGGCTAGGAAAAGGGGGGAGGGGAGGGACTAAACAGAGACTAGAAACCCAGACAACCTGAGTCAAGGTAGCCCTTCACCCTAGCACACTTAGATGCCAGGTTACAATTAAACTATTCATGATTATGTCTTGAACCAAGTTCAGATAGCACAAATAATATTGCTGGGATTTCCAAGGACTGAAATAGAGCCATGGCGAATGGAGGAGACTTCATCCGATTTTAAGTTAAGACCTGGTTTCCTAGGGAACCTAGAGACTTCCCCCTCCTATGGGTTGTTTTCTCACCAGAAAAACATGGCATAACTCCCAGGAATGTCATGTGGAGATGAAAGGGGACAAAAAGATGTGACCTTGCCTTGTAAATGTAAACATGAGACACACTGTGTTCTCTCATTATTGACTTAATGGTCAGAATGGGTGGAAGATGTGACCCGTGACAACTAAGATCTCTGAGGAGAAAAGCTGTTGGGAGAGAGAGTAAAGGCTGTGAGAGAAATTGAATTTCTCAGGCCTTGAAAGCTGGGAGAATGGCTGGATGTTGCCCCCAGGCTAGGTTATCTTTCCAGACACCTCCACTCATCCTAGAGACCCACAGGGAAGGGATCCTGGAAGCCCATTGTATTCCCCCTGGCCAGGACCAGGAGGCAGGACAAGAACTGGGGACCCCTGGGTAATGGATAGAGTTGCCTGCTCAAATGGTCCACCGTGCTCTTTATCCAGCATCTGGGCATCCATGAGAATCTGTTACTGGTTATGCATGCTGCTGGTTAGCTGGTCATGGACGTATTTCATTTTCTTAAATTCAATATGTCCCTTTTCACACACACACACACAGCCACACCCAATGCACTTATTTTTTAAAAAGAAACAATATACTACAGTAAATGGAAAAAACAGCCTTTCCCTCCTAGAAATAGAATCTACTAGAAATAGAATTTTCTAGTAAAAGTAAAAATAGCAAAATAAAACTTCAATTAAAGTGTCAATGCAGACGCTGTTGCCAACTGGAAACTATGAGCTGGAGGCCTGATTTGTTGATTTCTTTCCCTTTTTTTTGTGACATTATTGCCTTTTCAGGATAGAATAGTACTAAGGCACGCTTTTTCTTTAATCTAAGAACTATGAGAGGAGAAGAGATGGAGGAATTTGGTGTTGGTTTTTGTTTTGTTTTGTTTTGTTCTGGTTTTCTTTTTCTTCCCAAGAGACCGGGGGATGGGAGGACATTGCATTCCCTGGGAAGCTTGAGCTTTCACCGCTTCCTATCTCTGATCTCTGCAGTGCCCGCAAACGCCCCATCCCTTACTACCGACCCAGCCCCTCCTCATCCAGCAGCCTCAGCAGCGCCTCCTCCTGGTACAGCAGCAGCAGCAGCCGCAAGGCCAGCCGCAGCTACTCCCGAAGCCGGAGTCCCAGCCGGAGCCGGAGCCGCAGCAGGAGCCAGACCCGGAGCAGGACGCGGACCAGCCGCAGCTCTAGCTCCCGCAGTCTCAGCCTCGGCTCCCGGAGCCGCAGTCGGAGTCGGAGCCTGAGCTACAGCTCAGCAGAAAGCTATGCCAGCACGAGGCGCTAAGCAAGGGCCCTCCCTCGAGCCAGCTGCCCACCAGGAAGACCCCTCAGTACTCTGTCAGTTTCCTTTACTACCTGCTCTTCATGCCGGCTCCCTGGCGACAGAGGCCTCCTGGCTCCTGTCTTCTATGCTTTCCTGGGAAGGTGGAATGGGATACAGGGACTCCTATTCCAAGCTGCTAGGAACCTCTACCAGCGCCATCCTGAGAGTCCTGCTGGGCCATTGGAGAGGGTCACCTGTGGAAAGCTATCACCCATGATTCAAAAGTTTGGGCCTGGCCAAGACACGTGGCGACATCTCTGTTCCACTCATCCACTGCTAACAGGAGGCCAGGGTCAATCCCCCCCCCCCCCCGCTTCAGTCTCATGGCTGCACATTTGGACCTCAGTATTGGGAATAGAGGAGAGCAAGGGTGAAGTCCAAGATAAGAGCTCAGATCTTTTTTACCTTCCAACATAGGAGCTGGGAGCCCCCGGGTCCTGCTGGGAGAAAACAAATATCAGCAGGGGAGGTAGATGCTAGTGCTGGTGGTGGATGCCGGGAGTATTGGAGATGGGTTCTCTTGGTTATAACAGCAAAGAGTCAGGCCATTTGCCCTCCAAATATGCCAGCCTGGTCAGAGAAGGGACCCCAGCAGGTTTTAGCTTAGTGGAGACCCTTACACAGGGCCTTGTGACCCCACAGGGATAAGGAGCAGGTGAAACAGTCAGCGTACCTTGGGCTATAGCCCTACTTCCCAAATTTGCCTCATCCCCAGTAGCTGGCACCAACCTGATTTCACGGGACCATCTGCTGAGCATTCCCAGTGCTGTGGCTAGCAGCCAGCCCCCAGCGCCAGCCAGTCTGCCCTTGCCCTCCAGTTGGCGCCTGCCAGGCCCCTCCACGTTGTCCAGACTGCCACACCCTGGATTCTACCCAGGGCAGGCTGGCACCTGCCGTCTCACACGAAGACCACTCTCCTTGCCTCTCAGGAATTTTGCCAAGATGGGACATTGCGCAGAGCTCAGTGTTATGGGGAAAGGCCCAAAAACAGAGAGCCTGGGGCAGAGAGGCTAGAGTGGTCCCTGGCTCAGCCCCTGCTAGCTTCTGAGCTTACTGTCATCTTAGGAAAGTTCAGTGGTTGCTGCTGCCCTCATTCTACCTTCCTCCTCCCCAGGGCTGAGCAGCAAGGGCAAGCTGCCCTCTGACACACAAATGCCATCAGCTGCTTTGTCTGCAGAAGGCAAGCAAGAGAGATGGCCCTTAAAATAAACCCATGGGCATCCCCCCTCACCAGCTGCCTGGCTTTCCGGAGCCTTGTGGGTGTCAAGTTTGTGGTGACAACAGCTGAGGGCACACAGAGAAAGAAGTTCTTTCCCCAAGCTTTGAACACTGAAGCATGATGGTGCAAGGACACATTATTCATCCCTCTTGCTCCAAGGAAAACATTCGAGGGAGAGAAAATTATCATCTTGAAAGCAATGATCTCTCCATGCCAGTCTTTCCCACCCTATCAGCCTGGGGGTCCAGGGAGCGCCAGGGAAGCTCCTCGTCTGGCAGGCAAGGAGGAGCACCAGTGGCCATGCTGGCTTCCCCACCGTGGCTTCCAGCCCAGACCAAAATTTCCTCCCACCAGGACTCAAGGATGCTTATTCTGACATCACAAAAGTCCGGATGGCAGGTGCCTGGCACAGGAGTAGGTGCCCTAGGAGGGCATGTACAGCAACTGTAAATAACCCTCATCCCTGCCCAGGTTGCCAACCCCCCTGCCTCATCTCCGTCATGGAGACAAAGGTTTCCAGGAGCCACCAAACCTCCTCAGCAGGACAGCTTGTAAAAGCAGGAGAGCCTCCCTCAAAGACAGACTATCTTCATTCAAACTACTCTAGGGGACCATTTTTTGCCTGGAGCTCCTAGCAAACTTTTTTATTTATTCGATTTATTTATTATTTTTATTTATTTATTATTTATGTGATGAGCTCTTATTTCTCATGGTTAGCAGTATTTAATTATTTATTTATTTATTCAGAGAGATCGTGTATCAGCATATGTGATCATGTGTGTATTTGGTGGTACGGTCTTCTAAATTATTTGTGCTTTTTTTTTTTTTTTTATCCTGTTGCTTTGGCTGCAGTTGGAGAGACCAGAGGCATCTTGGTCTTTTCCATGAATGCTTTAAGCCCTGTACACCCCGAAACTGACCCAAAAGCATATGAGTCCCAGGGTTCATTATTCAGCTTGATGCCAGTGAGGGTCAGACCTGTGCCTCACCTCCTTGTACACACATTGCACCATGACTGTATCAGAATGATGAAGTCAGACACAGAGTCCATGAGCCTAAATCCAAGGCCTGGCATTAGCATGTAGCTATACAAATGTAAAAGAGTCATGAAGGACTCTTGGTCTAACTGCTTAGCATCAGAGTGCCATGTCTTTCTTGGCCAGTCTTCAGTGGCACCACTTGTATGCATGATAGAGCAGTTACCTCAGGATTGGGGAACCCTGTGGGTAAGAAAGGTTCCATACTAGCATGGTTCTTGGAGACAAGGTGTCAATAAGGTTTGACTGATGCTCACATCGGGAAAGAAAGGCGGAACTAACCCAGGGAAGACACTGTGCACTTCTTGACATCAGCAGAAGGCACCAGCTCCTTCCCCTGAGCAAAACTGATTGGATTAGTATACATCACACCCACCTGTGCCTCCTCCATGTGTCTAATTCCTCTCCCACCAGCTTTTAAGGTTGGAAAGCTTGCCTGTTTCCGACAGCAGCAGACAAACACTGTTCTGTGAAGAGGGCAGGGGCCATCCTAGGAGAGATCCACACACCCAAAGCAAATGTCCTTTACTGTGATATTTAGCTGGTCCTCGCAGGGTAGCACAAAGCTACTTCTAAAATTAGACAATAAAATACAGATGGAGGGGACAGCAGATATCCCCCACAAAAGGTCATTTCTAAGCTCATTCTAGGATCTAGGACCTTGAGACTTTTATTAGTCCTGCCTTCCTAACAAGCTGGTGGTGACTTCTGGTTGCTGGCTACAGAAAGTTCTTGCCCTTTCTGAAGTCATCCTCCATGGACTTTCGAAGCCAGCCTTCTTGGTCCAGTTGTGGATTTACTAAAACTTTCGCCATATCCCTGGCTCTTCCCTTCACCATGGCTGTCATATTCTAACTCAAGCAAAGTGTTATTCTTTCCTTGGAAACAGTTTTCAGAAGGTGTTTAGATACTGATGAGGTTAAGGTGCACCCTCCTCCTCTTCCTCTTCTTCCTCCTCCATCTCTCTCCCTCATTCCGTTTCTCCTCTATTGCATTCCTGGCCAAACAAACGTGTAGAACTCTCTCCAGGACAACTAACCATGGCTAACTAGAACCATTAAACCCATTACTTTCCACTTCTAAGGAATAACACCACTTGAAAGCGGTCCACAGCCATGCTTGCATAGTGGTTAGTGCACTGGTTGTGAAGGCTGTTCATGGTGAGGATTTAGTTCAACCACCAACATCCAAAATTGGTGAGAGTGTAGACTGAGATTAAGCAACATGTTGCCAAAGTCCCTTGACCTTTTTTGCTGTGGGCATGTCTACATGAATGAAATGGGACTATGGGCCAGGCTTCCCACTTAGTAAGGTGGGGTAGTTGACAAGTAGTTATGAACATTGGCTTGAGAGTCAACAAACAGAACGAGTTTCACCGAGATGCAGGGAGGAAGAGAAGGGGTTTGAAGTGGTACAAGGAGGTTCCTATTCTTAGGAATAAATTTGAAAATAGCACCTGAAGTCCTACTGGGTAGCTAGAAAGTGAACTAATTCCAAGTCACCAGCAAGGAACACCCAAGTCCACCAAAGTTGGAGTGCATCCCAGGCTCTGTTTGAGACCTCCTGGGAAGGAGACTCAGCCTTTTAGGAGCAGAATAAAACGGAAATGTTAAGAAGGAATTTGGATCTCAGTATCAGAGAGCCCCTGTCCTTACATTTCTCAGCCCTATTCTTTTTCCCAAAGAGGTTTGCTTTAAAAAGTATAAATTTGGGGTGCCACCAAAGGTTGAAAAACAGCAATGAGTTATGTCTTTCTCAAGGTCAACTTCCAATTTTTTTCTGCCACATTTTTTCTTTTTCTGTGATGCTGGGGGTCCATGTGCACACTAAGCAAGTGTTCTAGCCAATGAGCCACACCCCCAGCCCTGTGCTAGACTCCCCTCACCTCATCTCTTCTATGTGTGTTCAAAAAACAGAACAAAACAACAACAATAACAACAAAAACAACGTTTTCCACTTTGATTTCCCTTCTGCTGAGTAGAAAATTTGATTTGATATTAAAATGACACATGCCCTTCTCCTCCACTAGCCAGCCCACCAGAGACACTTGGCCAGACACAGCATCATTGGACAACACTTTCAAGAAATCTATTCCTTCTCTGTTCTGCACTGATGAGTCAATGGCATTGACACCATGGTCACCATCCCTCTGCAATGTTTTGTTTGTGTATTTGTTTTCTTTTTTAATTTTGTTCATCCCTGTTTTCATTTTGTGAGTTGATTTTTATTTAATTCTTTCTTTTTGGTCGTGATCATTTTGCATTGTAAATACCATGATGTGAGCCTGTCCTCAGAACATTGCTTATTTAATAATTTATTATTATTTCCTATTTATTGAGTGGTATTGGAAAGCAGCCCTTCCCCTGGATTGTTACTGGAAACCATCCATCTCTCGATTCTGGGTGCTGCTGTCTGTAGTGGGGAATTATCACCCAGGTAATGAATGCTGGAGTCACCAGACGAATTGGAACCGGCAGAAACAGAGGTTCCCATCATACAAATTAAGTCCAAATGGAGCTAAAACACTGGTTATCTCCGGAAAACCTCATTTAGATGGAAATTAATTGAGGAACTCAAATGCCTGTACACGAACCAACTTCTATTAAAAAGTCACAGCTAAAAAAAAAAAAATACAGAGAGAGAATCCTTTTTCTCCAGCCATGTGAAATTATGTCTCATTTATTAACAGGCTGAACCAAAGAGAAAGCAATGGTATGCCTTTGTGGTTTTCTTGCCTTTGGGGATAAAAGTAGTGGTCTTGGGCCTCAGTCTCGGCAGCCTCAGGCTTGGCCAATGTGTTCTGGGGAGGCCATGGGGAAGAGCTCTACTCTAGTGCCGTGGACTCCTTCCTGGTGGATATTGTGGCTGTATCTTTTGCTGGAAGAATGACAACCAAGGAAGAAAGAAAAGTTGTGTA